TGAATAAATTTGAATCTACCCTACCTGAGGATGCTTCCATATAAATATGAACAATCTAGGCTTTGCTGTTCCTGAGAAGAAGATTTTTCCTATATATTTCTATGTAAAACTTTGATTCTCCATTGTGGCCCCGCCCTACCGCCAGAGGTCATGGTTTGAACAAACTTGAATCTACATTACCTGAGGATGCTTCCATGTAAATATGACTCATCATGGCTTTGCTGTTCTTGGGAAGAAGATTTTTAAAGATTTTTCCTATATATTTCTATGTAAAACTTTGATCCTCCATTGTGGCCCTGCCCTACCCCCGGGGGGTCATGATTTGAACAAACTTGAATCTACACTACCTAAGGATGCTTCCATATAAATATGACTCATCATGACTTTTGTTGTTCCTGAGAAGAAGATTTTTAAAGGTTTTTCCTATATATTTCTATGTAAAACTTTGATCCTCCATTGTGGCCACGCCCTACCCCCGGGGGTCATGGTTTGAACAAATTTGAATCTACACTACCTGAGGATGCTTCCATATAAATATGACTCATCATGACTTTGCTGTTCTTGAGAAGGAGATTTTTAAAGATTTTTCTTATATATTTCTATGTAAAACTTTGATCCTCCATTGTGGCCCCGCCCTACCCCCGGGGGTCATGGTATGAACAAACTTGAATCTACGCTACCCGAGGATGCTTCCATATAAATATGACTCATCATGGCTTTGCTGTTCTTGAGAAGAAGATTTTTAAAGGTTTTTCCTATATATTTCTATGTAAAACTTTGATCCTCCATTGTGGCCCTGCCCTACCCCTGGGGGTCATGATTTGAACAAACTTGAATGTACACTACCTGAGTTTCATCTTTCCAGGCTTTATGGTTCTTGAGAAGATTTTTAAATGATGCATTTATTTTTTCACTAATTCTTAATTATCTCCCCTTGAAAGAGGGCGTGGCCCTTCATTTGAACAAACTTGAATCCCCTTCACCCAAGGATACTTTGTGACAAGTTTGGTTGAAATTGGCCCAGTGGTTCTTGAGAAGAAGATGAAAATGTGAAAAGTTTACAACAATGACGACGACAGACAACGGACAAATTTTGATCAGAAAAGCTCACTTGAGCCTTTGGCTCAGGTGAGCTAAAAATCAATCATAGACATCATTATTTTTTTTAGATGCTATTCTTTTTGTCTTGATTTTTACCTATAATGATATGATTGCGATTCTGATGCTCTGTTTACCAATACCTGAGGACATTCTGTGTTGATGTTCCCGCCCTTGTTACATAACCTAAATGGAAAGGCGTATCACCATAACTCTAACAAGTCGTTCTGTTTAACAGCCACTTTAAAACAAGTCATCTAGCACTTACATTGTCAATTAGGCATTTCTGTTTGTTCTAATGCTTTGGTCGACAAGATTCTGATTTGAATGACAAATGGTGGTTATTTCTGACAAAGTCTCTACAACACACTTTAATCTTTATTTTGTTTCTTGTAAGGACCAACTCTTACATCTTCATTTTTTTTTAATCATTTCAGTTGATAAAGCTACATTTATTTTTCTCTTTGATATGGCATGCCTTAACAAAATAAGCATAAACTCATTAGATAATGTTCCAAATTCTTCAATTAAGCTATTTCCTTTAAAAAATAAGTTGTTACTTTCAGTTTGAAGCTTGAGTCGATCATCATAAATTCAAAGAGATGGAAGATATTTGCACAAATTTACCTATTAGTAATTAATATAGAGTATTTGCACAAAATAAAAATAGACACTACAAACACATACAGTCAAACTCATCTCAAACTAGATATGGGACTGATCAAAAAGTTCAAAATATCCAAGTGTTCAAGATATCAAGGGTGAAATACAGGGTGTCCCAGAATATATGATACCATTTCAAGATTCTGTAAAACCTAATGTAATGAATATTGAATTACAACAAATGCATTATAAACATTGCATATACTGTCCAATTTTATTCACATAATCTGAAAGTCATTAAGAAAAAAAAAAACAAAAAAATGAGTTCACTTTGAAAAATGCTATGGTTTTTAAATGATGCCCTCTAAATGATGTTCTATCTGTGTAATGATAATATCTAGACATTGCACAAAGTTCCTAAACTTGAGACAATAGTGCCCATCTCGGAAGTAACTTCTGGATTTTCATCAGAGATAAACCTTTTATATATGCTAAGGAATCTGGTTTGGGTTTAGCAGCAGTAACTTAAGACTATAGGATTGATAATTACATGCAGTTTCAAAATGAGGGTAGCTAACTCTTTTGATAATCCATTTTGATTGAAATTGCAGTTTTTTGCAAAAGTTTGATGTAAATTTGATACGTTACAATTTCATGAGTGTGAGAATTTTTTTGGAATATTTTGTTGCTACAAATTTGTATTTATTCAAATATTTTTTGAGATATATATATATCAAAGAAATTGGCTAAGGGATGTGTTTGTGGCAGTTATTTCAAATGGTATCATATATTTTGGGACACCCTGTACTTATAGAATAAGGGTTGGGACTTCCAAGTCACTTCATATTCATGGTATTTGAGATATCAGTGTTCAAGTGTACCATAGTTCAACTGTATACAGTAGAGCCTTGTTCACCCAATAATACAGATGCTTCACCCTCTGGATGATATTTATATTTATACATACCAAGTATGTTTTAGTAATCTGGATGTTTCACATATCCAGACAATTTGCTAGGGAACATATGTGTCCGGATTAACAGGGCTTGACTGTACATGTGTCTGGATGATTCTCTGACAAAAGCAGATGGCTCCATTATTACACCCCTGCTAATCACTATATTCCTCAAATTCTGAAAGTAGTCAAGACACAAAACACCTTCACCTTAAGAGCCCTCTATACCCTGCACACTAGAGAGTTCTGATTTTGTGGTATTTTTATGCAGATAGAATGATCTGCCCTTTGATCAAGGATAAAATAAATTGAAATGTACAGTTTATTATTTAAGAAGATGGGTGAACATGACGAGCGAAAAGCTTAAAGTGTGACAAACATGAAGGTGAAAAATTAAATCTCAATTAAATCAAAATTTTCCTTGATATTTCATCTAACATTGAAATATACTTTACGTAAAATCTATACAATTTGCAAAAATCTCACAAAGATTGAAATTATTTGCTTATGAAATATTGTACACACACTAAAGAGGGCAAAAAGAGTCATTTTCTCATACTATAACACTATTTTTCGATATGAGTGGGTCTTCGCTCCATTTTTTTGAAAGTTAATCCTCGAAGTTTGCATAAAAATATACATTTTTTGGTTTCCTAAAATATGGAGCAAAGACCCACTATACCTTTAAAATACACTTTTATGACACAACATTCGCATCTTTCCGAGAAATACTTGAAGTCCATTAAGTCAAGGGTCATATCACAAACATGATTTAAATGCCACTATTCATCAGATCTTGCATAGTCTAGTGGCTAGCGTCCTAGTCTCGAAAGAAAATGATACTCAGGATTTTTATTGCTAGGGTTCGAACCCCCATGAATATCACATTATTTTTTTTAATAAAAGAGTAAATTTTCCGAGAAAATTTTCCCCAGAAAAGTTTTGTTTATCATAATTTCATACATTTCAATAATGAGAACTTTACTCTAAATACTGAATTCACAAACTGAACATGATTTTTATATATTTGAAGCTATAGGCTTTCTGCACGCTATGTTCGCCCATCTCCTTTGTGATCAAATCAAGCATTCATAACACTTTAATAGGGCAAGATAAATAGATAGAACACTTCATTTCCAGGTATTTTGCCCACTTAAGTAAACAACAGTGATTTATGTTCATCAGTACTTCATTGTCTTTGAACATTTTTCCTGGGAGTAAATGCAAGGTACCCTATGATGAAAATGTGATAGATAAGCTCAATACATACACCTTTACACACTATAATTTTCTCAATGTCCAAAAAATATTTTCCTCTAGTGTATAGAGGGTCCTTAAGGAGAAGACTACTGAAGTTACAGAACTTGTATCTTATCCTTTTGACTTTGTCAATAAAATATGTTCAATTCACCTTAATTTATCAGCAACAAAATATTAAAATTCATTCCAGTCAAAAGTTTTAAGTTATAACATTGACTCAATTTCAATAAATTTCATTGTTCAGTGACCTTGGGCTTTTAAAAAAAAATCAATAGCAACAACAAACCTAAGTTTCAAGCCAATCTAATAATTAAGGTTACAAAGTAAGAGCCTTGACATAATTTTCTCACTGACAGACAGACAGTCAGTCATGCCAGCAGCCAGAGGAAAAATAAAATTACTTGTATAAGGAACTGCTTTTGGCATATATTTTACTTAATTATCTTAGAGATAAAACCAGAAGTCTCTGACAAGACTGTAGCTCTACTGGTTTGAACTTGTAACAAAGGAAGAGAAAAGTGGACTTGAAACTTTGCAATAGCAATAAACAGAATAATGATCCTTAGTTTAGTCTCTTTTTTGTGGCAAGATTTATTGCAATCAGAATAAAACTGTAGGAGGAGTAGCCTTTTAAAAGAATTTTACAGAAATTTTGAATTTAGTAACGATGGCAACATCATTCATCAAAATAAAAAAAAAACGATGAAGATAATTATGCATTTCAATGTACATGTAGTCTACTTGCAGGCCAAGTTATATTAAAATCAGACCAAACTGTAGGAAAAGAAGTATTTTAAAAGTATTTCATAGAAATTTCTTTTTTAGTAACCATGGCAACACCATTCATCAAAATCAAAACCCGATAATCAAAATTATGAACCTTAATGTAGTCTACTTGTGTGCCAAGTTATATTGAAATCAGTTAAAAACTGTAGGAGGAGTAGCATTTTGAAAAATTGTTTACAGATGGATTTACAGACAGACAGCTAGACAGACGGATGGACAACGGACGCCTTACTATCGCATAAGCTCTTCTGGTCTCTGACCAATAGAGCTAAAAAAAAAAACAAGAAAAGTCCAGATATTTTTCACTGCTCAATTAATTTATCAAGTATGTATATTTTTGAAACATATATGTACTTGCACAATTTTTTTTCCAAAATAAAATATTGCACTGAGAAAAACATTCATCACATGAAGATGTACATGTAGTTGCACACTTCCATTATGTTCTAATCTTAGTAAATACATGTATACAATGTGACCTGGTACTACATTGTATAACACACCCATCCTTAATCTGACACAGTTCTTTAATTTAAGCTCCTAAAATGTTGGTTTATATTTCTTGACTTCTACCATCACATGATGAATATTAATGAGTTCATTCCTAATTTGCATATTTTTGAATGGTCCCTGTCCCAGCACTTTTTGGAATCTGTGGTAATATTGAATCAACTGAGTTAAGGCTCCCTGAAATAAAAAAATAATAATATTCAGATATATTGTTTAGTATGTTACAATTACATGAACCTGGTACTAACAAGCGGCTGATTCTGGGGGAGGTCACTGCACTGAAGACTGACAGAGAAAATGAGATTTTTATAGGCTATAAAGTAAAATAAACATCATATCATTTTTATTTTATGATCAAGCAAATTACTTTACAATTTTCCTTGTTTTTTTAATAAACATATTCTATTACCTGTAAAATCTGGGTACCGTTTTTGAAATTTGTAAATGCCCTCATTACATCTCCATTGATCAGTTCTAGAGCTCTTTTCCAGTCACTGTTAAATCCACGCACAATGGACTGTACTCTTCCTGAAATGTAATTATTTCAGTGTTAAATCCACATACAATGAACTGTACTCTTCCTGAAATGTAATTATTTCAGTGTTAAATCCATGTACAATGAACTGTACTCTTCCTGAAATGTAATTATTTCAGTGTTAAATCCATGTACAATGAACTGTACTCTTCCTGAAATGTAATTATTTCAGTGTTAAATCCATGTACAATGAACTGTACTCTTCCTGAAATGTAATGATTTCAGTGTTAAATCCACACATAATGAACTGTACTCTTCCTGAAATGTAATTATTTCAGTGTTAAATCCATGTACAATGAACTGTACTCTTCCTGAAATGTAATTATTTCAGTGTTAAATCCATGTACAATGAACTGTACTCTTCCTGAAATGTAATTATTTCAGTGTTAAATCCATGTACAATGAACTGTACTCTTCCTGAAATGTAATTATTTCAGTGTTAAATCCATGTACAATGAACTGTACTCTTCCTGAAATGTAATTATTTCAGTGTTAAATCCACACATAATGGACTGTACTCTTCCTGAAATGTAATGATTTCAGTGTTAAATCCATGTACAATGAACTGTACTCTTCCTGAAATGTAATTATTTCAGTGTTAAATCCACACATAATGGACTGTACTCTTCCTGAAATGTAATGATTTCAGTGTTAAATCCATGTACAATGAACTGTACTCTTCCTGAAATGTAATGATTTCAGTGTTAAATCCATGTACAATGAACTGTACTCTTCCTGAAATGTAATTATTTCAGTGTTAAATCCATGTACAATGAACTGTACTCTTCCTGAAATGTAATTATTTCAGTGTTAAATCCATGTACAATGAACTGTACTCTTCCTGAAATGTAATTATTTCAGTGTTAAATCCATGTACAATGAACTGTACTCTTCCTGAAATGTAATTATTTCAGTGTTAAATCCACACATAATGGACTGTACTCTTCCTGAAATGTAATGATTTCAGTGTTAAATCCATGAACAATGGACTGTACTCTTCCTGAAATGTAATTATTTCAGTGTTAAATCCACGCACATTGGACTGTACTCTTCCTGAAATGAGATTATTTCAGTGTTCAATCCACGCACATTGGACTGTACTCTTCCTGAAATGAGATTATTTCAGTGTTAAATCCACACATAATGGACTGTACTCTTCCTAAAATGTAATGATTTCAGTGTTAAATCCACGTACAATGGACTGTACTCTTCCTGAAATGTAATGATTTCAGCTCCTTTTCTCTTGTTGTTAGATACAAGCATTATAAAATCTCAAACTATTTTCAGATCACTGATGTTATAGAGATCCAACCATCTCTCACAACCTTTTTTTGCGAGATTATTGTTTAGTATTTATAAGTGAAACAAAATTTTCAAGAATTTTGGTTATTGCTCTATATAATCTTTAATAGAAGAATTATACACAAGAATAACATTTTTGCGAGCAGAGGGTCTGGTGTAGTTATGCGAAAATAAAGTTCTCGCAAATAAAAAGTGATATACAGTATTCTAAACATCATATTTGACTAAGATATAGTAATTCAAAACTTTATTTAAGGAATGTTTTTAAATTTTGTGTGAGTTATTTGTGTGTAAATCACACAGACTTGTCACACAGGCATATTTCATGAAGCGCACAAGTGCTTCATGAAAAATATGCCTACGTGCAAATCTGTGTGATTTACACACCAATAATTCACACTAAACTTAAAAATATTCCTTATATTTACATTTTACATGTTCAAAAGCACAAAAATATACTCAATGTTTGAATTATTCGCTGCCCTATTTCGTTACATTTTTATTTATGTCTCTGTAGTTCATTGTGACGTCACTTTAGAGCGAGTTTCTCCGTGCATATTTCTATGCGTGAGTATACACGAAAATTACATTCAAATCAATTTCACGGTTGGCTTAGTAGAAAAACATAGCAAATGTAAATATTTGCATGTATTTTCCCCATTTAAGTTAGCAAACATATTTTTCTTTATCGTACTTTGTTGTCTAAAGATAAAGATTTTTCCTGGGTAAAAAAAGCACATAACCTATGTTAAAAATGAATAAAGTAATTTTTAATAATTATGTACTCCTTTAGCTATATCATTTTCTCAAAGTCCAAGAAACATTTTTTATTAGGATATAAAGGGTCCTCAAAAAGGAATGCTACACCAGGGTCCTCAAAAAGGAATGCTACACCAAAATATTATTTAATGGATCTTTAAGACATCTCTTTTGAAATACAGTTTTAGCATGGAAAGACTGTTATTAGTATTTATTTATTTAATATGAATTTTTTCCATCTTTTCATAGAAAATGTAAAAATTGAACTACATTTCTCCCATTACCACTATATGCTTCATACTACTACACAGTGATTCTTTTTTTTCCTCTTACATATGTTACAGAAACCCTAGCAAGCATTTAATTGGTTGTCATATTAATCTGTGAAGGATTTGATTGTTTGCCATGATCTGGGAAGTAATGATGTACACAAACTTCGAAGAAATTCAGTTTTTTCAAAGAGAGAAAAAGGTTCCATAACTTGTGCATATTAGTTACCCATTTTTCTCCAACCCAAACTCCTTAATTTTTTCAACAGTAAGAAGACACTTACCAAGCCCTGTGTCTTTTTACAATTAAAAAAATTAAGGAACTTGGGTTGAAAAAAAAAAACCCAGCCACTAACTTGTATGAGTTATGGAAATCTATGTGTTATTATCTATTCATAGTCTACAATTTCATACAAGCAGATAGAAAGACTTTATGGATGAAGTACAGGTAAGCTTCCTTCAGGTAATTGACTAATGCAGCTAGAAATACTGAGGTTTATCAAATACATACTCTCATCAGGTCTTAGTGCTTCCACACCAGCCCTTTCTATGATACTCTCACTGTCCTTGACAAATGAAATCATTCCACCAAAGTGAGGCGATAACACTTCCTCTATAAACTCCTGAGTTCGAGCTGTCAGCAGTTCCTTAAAACTCTCCGACTCCTTGGATTCTTCTGCCGTTCGCTCCTAATAAACAATTACAGATAAATAATAAACAATTACAGATAAATAATAAACAATTACAGATAAATAATAAACAATTACAGATAAATATTCTCATAGGGTGTAATCCATTTCTTAAAACATACTGTAAAAATCAGCAGCATTTCTAATAATAGATAGTATACAGAGTCTACATATACATGTATGTGTTGTCTTAGATACAAATTAGACACTGTGAACAATCTTAGATTAAACAAAAACAGAGATTTTTTACTTACCTTTGAAATTTTTTTTTTTTATAATTGTCCCAGATTAAAGCATTGAATTATCATCTTTTGCATTGCACCGTGTCATTTATCATACAGGTATACACACAAAGGACAAGATAGGCTTAGACCCCTTTTTGGCCCCCGGTTCAGGGTGTCTTTTAGAGTGATGCAACAATTTATCAGTTAAAAACCTGTTGTCACCCCTGCCACAAATTGAGTATTGGTTACTCAAGTTCTGGGATACACAGAGGTCACAGGAAGGTTGAAAAATATGTCAATTTCCGAATTTTCTCATTTTTATGCAAATTTTCATCCATTTTACAGCACATTTTGGTTCAGAAAACATAGAGCACAAGCTTGCCTATCTATCAAATTTATATATTTCATACACTAGTATCAGATGCATCTTATGTATAAAAATCTCAGATAGGCAAGCTTGTGCTCTATGTTTCCCGAAGTGAAAAGTATCTCAAATTTCACAAAATTCGATCAGAATTGATGAAATTTGGGAAAATGTCCTATTTTTGCACCCTCTTGTGCCCTCAAGGTAAGCCGTGAATCAAAATTAGTGCTGGTTTTAAAACAAGCATCATTTTAAGTTCTTAACTACAAACTATCACAATTTTAACTGTGTTCTGATTTTTAAAATCAAATAAGGGGCCAGATTCGGTCGTTACCATACCTTGTCCTTTAATTTAAATTAATAATCTATGATGAAAATTTGTATGCAAAGCTCATGTATTCATGACACACTGAAATTCAAAAAATGATAACATAAAAATTAATGCTTATCAAACATACATGTATTTATCTTTCTTATGTTTATATTTAGTAAATTCCTTTATTACCACTTGATACTTGGTGTTATTTTTTAAAATCATTTTCTCAAACAGCTTATGAATGTGATGTCATGTTCTATCACTGAAGTCAACATTTGACAGATACATGAAATGCATTTTTTGAAGGAGGCATACATTGGAAAAGTGTTGAATGTAAAATTAATCAGCTCTTTCCCTATATACTGATTTGTATGTGTTTGTGTACCCACAAGAAAGATGGAAAAAGGAAAGAATATGTGTGAAAATGCCCAACTTTGGAGCCCAGCACATTACTGGAAGAAGGAGAAGAAAAAGTACCAAGAGACAAAAATTCACGACTTAAACTCTTTTATAGCTAAGATTATCTGTATATACATGTATACACTGTATGGAAAATTGATTTTAATATTTGTTTTCATTTGTAGAATACAATGCTTTTATATTGGAGTGAATTTGGTTTCAAGGATTGCATTTGTTGACTAAAGCAGATAAATGCAACTAGTCAATGCATGGAGAATTAAACAAATATTCACAATTAAACAAGTATTTTACATTAAAGAATTATAATTATGAAAAGAAAGAAAGCTAGCTGTAAAATTTACAGAAATTTATATTTATAAAAAAGTATATATAAATGAACAGAACCTTTCATTTTGCTTTTTTCATCAGAAATAATGAAGATGTTTGGGATTATAAATAGATGATGATTTGCATTTAGAAGCAAGCATTTCTGGGGTAAACTATATGTTCAATGTCAGATTACAGGAGTAAATATGAAAATTTACCTGTCTAAACTTAGTAGCAGATGCATGCTAAATCATAAATCATTGTCAAATCAATCAATCTCATTTAAAGAACCGAAAAAGATGATATTTCTTCATTCTTCACTCAAACAGCAGTGTCATTAAATTAGTTAATAAAACATCCAATTTTGAAATTTCCTTTCTCTTTGTTCAAAAAGTCTTACCATGAGCACACCTAACATCATGTCGTAATTATTGATGAGGAAAATAAGCTGCTCCTTCCTTAAGGGGAACTCAGCAGCCATTTTTAAAATGAAGTTTTCCACTTCTGTTTGTAACTGTTCAAGCAGGTTATGGACTCGTTCATCAGGGAATGACTGATTGATCCCCACAATGGCTGCTGAAAACTCAGCATACCTCCTGGTGATCTACAAAAAGTCACAATAACTGTACATAGATAAAATCAAACTTGTGTCAAAGAATTATTTTTTCCAAACACACATATATAGCATAGTATGCACATATTTTGCAGTACATGTAGCTTTTATACATTTATAGTTCATATGGATTCTAAGAGAATAAGAATTCATCAAAATATGTTAACTTACATGTAAATTTACCTTTCCCAAAAATTGTAGAAACAATTACAGAGTAATATTTACATGAATTATACAATGTTCTAAAAGTTGCATGTTATGACTAATATGTTAACTGTTACACTTACATAATGTGGTCTGTTGTCAATGTGTCCAAACTTCTGTGGGTCAACATCCCTCACACTCTGTATGTTAAGATGCAAAACTGTCTCAAATCTAGGCCACATGACACCTAGAAGGGTATCCCAATACCTAAAAAGTCAAAAATAAAGTATGTAAATGTTATGTCTAATAAAATATTGTACAAATCTGAGATAGAAACATTTTCCTATTTAAATGTGCTCCAGTGATTTCTGAGAAATACATTCAAATATTAATACATTAACAATGAAGACTACAACACATGACTTGACAGAGATGGTGTTGTTTACTTCAAACTTAACAGTACATGTAACAATGACAAGTAATTCAGGAAATCTAAAAATACCCGACAGAGGGCTTTTTGCCTACCTGTCTAGAGCAGGTACCCCTCTCTTGTGCATGATACTTCTAAACCTGTGAACTATGTGTATGGATAGGAAAATGGCGATAGAATCGTAGCACTCTGTTACATGGTCCTCCATTGATTTCTGGACAAAGAGGAAAAGACAGTCCAAGGTATAGAAGTATATTGTACACCTTTATTTGGCTATGTTTTAACAGATACAGCTGTACTTACCAGATAGGTTTGTAAGGTTTTTGACATGATGGCATTAAATAGGTCCAGGGCGGCTGTGCCTGATGCCATATAAAAATCTACTAAGAATAGGTACTCTCTGCAGCAGTTGTCCATCAGGGCATAGTGTAAACTCCGAAACAAACTCTCAAAATTAAACTGCAAAAATAATTTTAATCATAATAACACAGTTACTTTATCAAGATGTCATACACTCTGAGAAAAAAATTCTCATTCAAACTGAGCTCAAAAGAATTGACACTGAATCACCAAAATGTTAACAAACAACAACTTCAATGACTCTGCTATTAAACAATTCAATACAAATAATAAAAAGTAGTTGTCTCCCTTGTACATGGCATCTATTTGAAAACATAAAGTTATTTCTATCTACATGTATAATTTCTAATATTATACTTCCATGTTAAATAATGAATCTGGTTAGTTTAGAAGCATTAATCAATTTTTAATGTCACACTCAGCATCTGCAACACACTTGGCAACGGGTAACAGAATAATATCAATAATGTCATGTGTGTAATTATGTTTGTATGGTTCGCTGTAGAATTCTCAACACATCAGTTGTGCATTTGAGCTGAACAAACAGGATATTAATAATAGCTTGATCCACATAAGACTGATCGTAAAAACAACAAACAGAAGTAAAATGTTTGCGAATAACAAAATTATTGAAGAATAAGCCATTTCTGAGTACCAAACAAACAGTTGAGAGGTTGGTATATAATTTTTAAGCTTTCCCATTGAGAAAAATGTAAATAGCGTGTTTAAATGCCTTTCAAAAAGAGATCTGATTCAGAATGACAATTTCAGACTTTTTATTTATCAATCAGACATTCAGTAGAATAAAATAAATAGTACATGTTTTGGAGGGTAACAGTTAGACACCCTGAAAGAAAACTATTGTCAACTGACATGTCAGCAGAGGTTGACAATGGTTTTCTCTTGGGGGTGTCGATTTCAACTGTTACCCTACAAAACATGCATTATTTACATAATACATGTATAACCCAAAACAATGTTTTAATCCTTTGAAAAGTATAACAATAAACATGTACCTTTGTGTCTGACTTCTGCTGGGCATGAGGGACAATAATGGGGTCCTCCAGTCTCGCTGTTAAAACCTCCCCTCTGTTGCCGAGGGTAAAAACTGTTGAGCGATTCTTCAGGGCCGGTTTGGAGCTGAAGAAACCTATTTGTTAAGAAAATCTAGAGTATCCTTTGGAATGCCCTTGTTCAGTCTAGTATAAGCAATAAATATCATTCTGATTACGTCACTTTCTTTAAGCAATCTGTTGTTCTTTAATCTGCCAGTTTTATAGTTTATCAGCAATACATTAGGGAAAAACTACTACAGACCTAGAAAGGTGCTTTAGGCTTTACCACCTGAGCTATCTGGCTACAATGAATAAGCATGCCTGTCAACTAAACAAGTGAATAAGCATGCCTGTTTAATAAACAAGAGGCCCAGGGGCCACATTGCTCACCTGAGCACTGTGGCTAGGAAAAGAGGAAAAATCTGTTTAGTATTGAAAAGCTTAAATGCATAAGTGGTCCCAACCTACCCTTAAAGTGGGAAGGGGGGGGGGGGTATGATTTGAACAAAATTAAATCTACACTAAGGATGCTTACATGATTTTTTGACTAACTTTGACTTTTTTTCTCTACAAGTTTGAACTTTCATTGTGGCCCCACCCTACCCCTGGAGGTCATGATTTGAACAAACTTGAATCTACACCACCTAAGGACGCTTCCATATAAATATGACTAATCATAGCTTTGCTGTTCTTGAGAAGAAGATTTTTCCTATATATTGCTACATAAAACTTTGATTGTCCATTGTGGCCCCACCCTACCCCCGGGGGTCATGATTTGAACAAACTTGAATCTACACTACCTGAGGATGCTTCCAAATAAATATGACCAATCATAAGTTTGCTGTTCTCGAGAAGAAGTTTTTTGAAGATTTTTCCTATACATATACTCCTATGTTAAACTTTGATCGTCCATTGTGGCCCCACCCAACCCCCGAGGGTCATGATTTGAACAAATTTGAATCTACACCACCTGCAGATGCTTCCATATAAATATTACCAATCATAGCTTTGCTGTTCTTGAGAAGAAGATTTTTGAAGATTTTTCCTATATACTCCTATGTTAATTAAAACTTTAATCTTCCATTGTGGCCCCACCCTACCCACGGGGGTCATGACTTGAACAAACTTGAACCCACATCACCTGAGGATGCTTCCAAATAAATATGACCAATCATAGCTTTGCTGTTCTTGAGAAGAAGATTTTTGAAAATTTTTCCTATATACACCTATGTAAAACTTTGATCGTCCATTGTGGCCCCACCCTACCCCTGGGGGTCATGATTTGAACAAACTTGAATCTACACTACATGAGGATGCTTCCATTTAAATATTACCAATCATTGCTTTGCTGTTCTTGAGAAGAAGATTTTTCCTATATATTGCTACATAAAACTTTGATTGTCCATTGTGGCCCCACCCTACCCCCGGGGGTCATGATTTGAACAAATTTGAATCTACTCCACCTGAGGATGCTTCCATATAAATATGACCAATCATAGCTTTGCTGTTCTTGAGAAGAAGATTTTTGAAGATTTTTCCTATATACTGTATCCCTATGTAAAACTTTGATCGTCCATTGTGGCCCCACCCTACCCCCGGGGGTCATGATTTGAACAAATTTGAGTCTCCACTACCTGACAATAATTCCACATGAGTTTCATCTTTCCTGGCCCATTGGTTCTTGAGAAGAAGATTTTTCAATAATGCCATTAATTTTTTGATATTTCGTAATTATCTCCCCTTGGAGGGGGCGTGGCCCTTCATTTGAACAAACTTGAATCCCCTTTACCCAAGGATACTTTGTGCCAAGTTTGATTGAAATTGGCCCAGTAGTTCTGGAGAAGAAGATGAAAATGTGAAAAGTTTACGACAACGCCAACGACGACAGACAACGGACAAATTTCGATCAGAAAAGCTCACTTGAGCCTTCGGCTCAGGTGAGCTATAAATGTAAATTAAACTGAGGATACTTTTCTTGGCTGTGTCCTCCACTCCCATCAAGTCATCTTTGTCAGCCACTTCTTCAAACTGAAGATCAGAAAAAAATATAATAATACACTGAACTAAAACACTGTGGGCAGAATGAATTCTCATTCCCACTAAAGGGTTTATGCATAGATTGGAATTTTTTGTTTTGAAATTGTCAGATTTGAATTCAATAACAATGGACAAACAAAAGTTATTGTGTATGCAAATATAAAAAACAACCAAATTCCCATACATGTAAAGACCATAGATCATTTTCCATTTGTACATGTGTATGGATGTTAAAACATTAAAAGTTCTTTTTCTTTTCTTTTTTTTTAAATTTACATTTTTCAGATAAAATAAATAGTTATAACATATAACTGTGTAACAGATATATTCCAAGCATATTATTAAAGAGAGTCATGAGATTAAACAAGAGGCCCAAGGGCCTAGAATTGCTCTTCTGTCCAATTGTACAACCCTATCACTTCTATTTCTAAGCCGCTTAGTATCCTAAATATTTAGATTTAGCACTGAAATTCCAAAAGTAGGTCATTGTTACCTACTTTTTAGTTGACACACTCCAAGGACACCAGATGCATCAATTGACAAAGTTTAATGATTCTAAGCAAATTAGTATCTGAAATATTTAAATATAACCATGAAATTCCAAAGGTAGGTCATGGTGACCTACTTTTTAGTTAACACACTCTCAGGACTGAAGATGCATCAACTGAAAACGTTTGAAGATACTATGCCAATTAGTATCTGAAATATTCAAAAATAGCCATAAAATTTCAAAATTAGGGCACTGTGACCTACTTTTTTGGTTGATATACTTCAAGGCCTTAGGATGCATCAACTGACAAGGTTTGATGATCCTAGGCTTCACAATGACCCAAAATATGCCCCTGAAACAATTTAAAAATGAATACCTGCAAAATTAAAAAAGTAGGTCAGTATGAGACACGGTTTTGGTATTTACTGCCAAAAGGTGATATCACCTATTCGAATAGGTGATATCACCTATTCAATTGGTGATATCACCTATTCGAATAAGTGATATCACCTATTCAATTGGTGATGTCCCCTATTCCATTAAGTGATATCACCTATTTGATTTGAATAGGTGATATCACCTATTCGAATAGGTGATATCACTTATTCCTTTTGAATAGGTGATATCACTTATTCGAATAGGTGATATCACCTATTCAAATTATTTATGAAACAACAACTGCTCCCAAGACTATAGCCTATAATTTACTTTCACTTTCGTTTTATAACTTATTGTTCTTGGAGACAATGGATAACAGCTTCGCATTTAGTTTTAAGCACCCCAGTAGAATTTGTAGTTTGTTTTGCTCACAAATTATATTTATTACACTTATCTATAATGTATACTATAGGAAAAATCGGGAAAAACACATAGTAACTGTTCCATACGGAAAATGCCCAACTTTACATAATAAAGAGAGAAAGGTATGCCACTCTGTTGTACCCCAGCTTGGTATAATTTATAAAATTTATATAACTTTACAGGGGTCGATAACATAAGGTATTTAAAATGTCTCAGACTCAATTACAGGGGAAAACGGGGCAGCCCGAATTTGCTTGGTTCCACTGGAAATCTAGATAGTCTTGAGAAAGGGAGCATTCATTATTTATTGTTGTAAGAAATGCAAATAGGTGATATCACCTATTCAAATTGGTGATATCACCTATTCAATTTGAATGAGTGTTATCACTTATTCGAATAGGTGATATCACCTATTCGAATAGATGATATCACTTAATGGCAATAAATACCAAAACGGCGCCTCATAGGTCAGTGTGATCTACATTTTAATAAAAATGTTTCATGACCCCAAGATGCATCAACTTACAAGGTTTGATGAATCTAAACCCCTCAGTATCCATAATGATGACCTTTAATGTTTTGAAAATGATTAACCAAAAAATTCAGAAAGTACAACACAGTGAAATACCATTTGGTTAACACACTCCAAGGTCCCATGATGCATAAACTGATAAGTTTTGATGATCATAAGCTTCAAAGTGTCCAAGATATGCAACAAAATCAAATTAAAAATGAATACCTGTAAAATTCAAAACGTAGGTCACCAAACTTACTTTTGAGTCACCATGACATGAGGTCCTAAGATGCATCAACTGACAAGATTTGATTATCCTAGTCCTTATAGGGGGCAAAATTTTAAAAAAAACATAATTTTAAGTCAACTTTCAATTGACCTTGAGACCACATCCTTTGCATCAGGGTGATGCCTTGAACAGTTTTCAATCTACAACATATTATGCATAAGATTGGTGATAATGTGCCCACTGGTTCCTGAGAAGATTTTTCTTAGCAACCACTATTTTTGTTTTTATTTCCATTATTATCTCCCCTTGATAAAGGGTCACATCCCCTATTATAGTAAATATGAAAACTCTTGGGCCAAGGATACTCTGTGACAAATTAGACAAAAACTGACCAAGGGGTTCTGAGATATGGCCCAAGTTCCAACCAGTTATGCACACTGCACAAATGGTCATAGCATTAGTTCTTTGAGCCTTTGGCTCAGAAGAGCTAAATATCTACCTGCAGTTTCATCAAGCGACTGAGGTAACCCTTGAAGTAGGAGTAGTAGATTTTAGACATTGTATCTAAGTACTCATCTCGAATCTCTCTAGCAACGTGTCTCTCATTAGCCATCAGGAATTCATTGAAAAATCTATAAATAATTGTAAAACAATAATTCAGTGTATCGATTTGATATATCTATAATTGAATAATATGCAGAAAATGACAAAACCAAAAATAAATTGAAACAAACCTGAATTTCAGCATGGCATTTTGGGGAACTTGATAATTACTCATAGGTTTTCTAAATGAGTAAATCTTCTGCATCAAAAACTCTCTGATTTTGGAAATAGCCTATAAACATGATAAAACAATTTTTTAAATGATATTGATCAAATTTGATTTATACATTGTATTTAAATTCAAAGAACTACCTTAATCTTGAGTTTTTCCAGGATATCTTTCACATCATGACAAGCCCTTGCATCCTTGAAGGACTGTTCCTTGACAAAGTTGATCTTATGATTCAGTTCGTGTAGCTGCTCCAAAAATTCTCTCTCTGTCACAGGAGTGTCTAATATGTGGCTAAGACAGAATTCAACTACTTGTTTACACATGCGTCACAGTTTTTTACAATGAGAAATTTTTGTGTCATAATGTGAGATGGTTTCCATATAAAAATAAAGTTCTCTTTAATAACAATGGAAGGGGACTTTTATTACTTATATGATAAGGAATATATATGAAAGAAAATTAAAAAAAAAAATTAAAAAAATCATTCAAATTTCATGTTTAATACAATTATCTTACTTAATCATCTGTTCAGGAATTACCATTTCATCCACATATTGACTCAGCTCTCCTCGTACAGCCTACAGACAAACAAACAGAAACTACAGACAGACAAATAGATATCAATGTACATAAACTACATCCACATATTGACTCAGCTCCCCTCGCACAGCCTACAGACAAACAAACAGATACTACAGACAGACAAATAGATATCAATGTACATAAACTACATCCACATATTGACTCAGCTCTCCTCGCACAGCCTACAGACAAACAAACAGACACTACAGACAGACAAATAGATATCAATGTACATAAACTACATCCACATATTGACTCAGCTCTCCTCGCACAGCCTACAGACAAACAAACAGATACTACAGACAGACAAATAGATATCAATGTACATAAACTACATCCACATATTGACTCAGCTCTCCTCGCACAGCCTACAGACAAACAAACAGATACTACAGACAGACAAATAGATATCAATGTACATAAACTACATCCACATATTGACTCAGCTCCCCTCGCACAGCCTACAGACAAACAAACAGATACTACAAACAGACAAACAGATATCAATGTACATATACTACATCCACATATTGACTCAGCTCCCCTCGCACAGCCTACAGACAAACAAACAGATACTACAGACAGACAAACAGATATCAATGTACATATACTACATTCACATATTGACTGAGCTCTCCTCATATAGCCTACAGACAAACAAACAGATATTGATGTACACAATGTACATAAACTTCAGACAGACAAACAGATATCAATGTACATAAACTACAGACAAACAAACAAACAGATATCAATGTACACAATGTACATAAACTACAGACAAACAGATATCAATGTACATAAACTATAGACAGACAATAGATATCAATGTACACAATGTACATAAACTTCAGACAGACAAACAGATATCAATGTACATAAACTACAGACAGACAAACAGATATCAATGTACACAATGTACATAAACTACAGACAGACAAACAGATATCAATGTACATAAATTACAGACAAATAAACAAACAGATATCAATGTACACAATGTACATAAACTACAGACAAACAGATATCAATGTACATAGACTACAGACAGACAAACGGATATCAATGTACATAAACTACAGACAGACAAACAGATATCAATGTACATAAACTACAGACAGACACACAAACAGATATCAATGTACATAAACTACAGACAGATATCAATGTACATAAACTACAGACAGATATCAAATTTATTTTTAAGATATTGCTACACAGACAAAAAGAGAAAATAAAAGACAATTAGAGACAAGAAACAATAACCAATTCACCTGTTCTCCATTGCAAATAGAATTCTGATTTATCTTGCCTCTATCAGTGATTTTGATTCACTTTGTCAGTTTTGAGCTTAATAATATCTGTCTCTTATGGTTTCAAATTACACCGTTATTAAGCTTGTCTTTCCTGTCCATTTTTCAGATTAATAAGATGTTGATCTTGATATTACTTGTCTGATTTTGAGCTCGACTTTACCTGTTTTGGTTTTGATACTACACGTATTGTACCTGTCTACTTCTGAGCTTGATATTATCTATTGTTTATTGAGTTTGATATTAATATCTGTTTGTTTTGGTTTGATATTACCTGTCTCTGTACCTGTGTCTGTTATTTGAGCTTGATTTTACCTGTCTGTTTTTGAGCTTGATGTTCATACTGACAGACTGTTCCTGGAGACTTTGGATCTCGCTACTGATGCTACTCAGGTCCCCCTGAAATCCATTCAGCATCTCCTCCATTCTCTGTACACAACAAACAGTGAGTCAGATAATGTGTATATTAATACATTGTTCATCAAACAAACAATATCAATGCCCGTCTTTCTTCCATTTACCATAATACAGGTATATCAAAGAAGAAATGATTTAAAGAAATGGTGTACCTCTAGTATGGTGTCACATGCTGCTATCTGTTTGTGTAAACTAGCAATGTTTCCACATTCCTTAATATCTTCATAAAATTAAAGAAAAAATGTGAGTTTCTTCTAAAATTGCTTATATTCAACCCCTTTCAACTAATACCATCAAAGCAGCTCAGTTGGTAGAGCGCTCGCTCCATGATCGGAAGGTCGTGTGTTTGAATCAGGGCTGCAACTGACCTAAGTCAATAAATAGGTAGCAACTATTCCTTCGCCAAGAGCTCGGCACTTTGAAGTGAAAGTTGCAGGTCTTTTGGATGAGACCTTAAAAACTGAGGCCCCATGTCATGGTAGACGTTGGCACGATAAAGAACCCTCACTGCTCAATGGCCCTGAGTGCCAAGTAAAGGTCTAAATTTGAAACCCTTCACAGGTATATGGTGACGTCTCTATATGAGTGAAAAATTCTTGAACGGGACGTAAAACAATATACATCAAATCAATCAAACCCTAATTTTTACCTGGACAACCTAAAATACAGGCTCCTCAACACAAAGTTTGGCAATTAAGATTAAAACTTATCAAATAATCATTAAATATAATTTTTTTTCTGAAAGCCAAAATGCACACCAGGGTTTGGTTTAACTACTGTCTACCAAAATGCCCATCAGGATTTGTGAAGGTCCTGGGTTATAAGATCTTAGCAGTTATGAACAAGTGGAACTTTTGATAAATATATCAAAGTAATTTAATGCATGTTTCAATGTGTCCATTTGAAGGATACAGTCTTGTATTGAGGCATTTTCAACATCCAGCAGCTCTCTTTCAACTTCTTTAGCATAAGTTCTCAAATCTGTGCCCTGAAATACAAAAATTTGAACAAATATTGAACTATTTATTTTTTACGCAGACTTATACAACATATGTTCCTGAAATATTTTGTTTTAGTTCTGTTTCTTCTCATTGTTCACTCTATTCTTTTCTTGCTTTATTTTGTTTGTGAATCAGAAAGTACTCCATGGATTGAGATAAAATTTATTTAGGGTTTTAAGTGGAACTGGCTTGTATTTATGTGGTTGCAAGAGTATCAGTTTTCAAGGAGATACTTTGTAGGTACATGTATATATACATGTATTATGCATGTTATACATAATCTCATTAAGCTTGTATGGAATGGAATAACACCTGAGAGTATGAGAACATTTGGGAAACATCTGTAAATCTCCACTATAACAGTAAATACTAACTGCTTTTTCTTTAGAAATGGTTACTTCTTTATTTATATACAGCATAGCTACAATAAACTGAAAATAGTGACAAGTTGCAGCTTAATCACATGATAATATGTTTGATGGCAAGACCATTCAAGGCAAGTGCAGTTGCATTTTTTTTTTACTAGATACCATCAAAAACCTTTATGATAATTATAAACTTTTAACTTATATCTCTCTTCAGGTTGCAAAATATGGTCTAAACTGTGATATCACATCATTCATCATATGTTAGTTGCATTTTCATAATGCTGACTACTGTATACAGGGAAATTTTTGCCCCGTTTTATTTTCACCCCTTTTGCTCTACACACAAGTGGATGAATTTAAGACAGGGCAGATTAAAAAAAAAGTATAATTTTTAAACAAAACTGTGACTGGACAAAATCAAACGGGGCGAAATTGTTTGCTAGTTTGAAAGGGTGAAAATAACCCTATATACAGTAATTTTAAATGGCAAATTTTATGGAAAATCCTTTTATCTACTCTTAACAATTTCTAGTAAAGCAAGATCTTGTTTGGTGGGTAATCATTTGTTTGGTTATCTCAAGAACATTAATTGGGCAGCCATATGCATTTGAGGGGAATTGTGGATCCAATTTTTCTGTGGAAAAAATAAGCTGAATTACTGATCAAATTGATTGAGACCACCAAAATTTTCTCTTCATTCACGGGTTGCTGGTAGAGTTCACTACACTTGCTTTTTAAGGAGGTTGGATCCTGCCATCAAAAGTAATGAGAATTTTTTACCAAGTATATTTTTAGAATTTATACACATAGCTTTATTAAAAATCAAAACAAAAAATGGGGGTCAATGCGCTTCTTTTGGCACTACAGAGCATTTAGTTTGACCTTTTTGCACTGTAAATACGTCTTACACATACATCAATTTTTAAAGTTTTTCCTCCAATATTTTTTGTTCAAATAAATTATGGGAACAAAAACAGTCTTATTTCATCTTAAATAGACACATTAAAATTTGTGACAACGAAGAAATTTTCAAATTACTCCGCATGTTCAATTATTTGACCTTTTTGCACTCAAACATTTTCATTTTTCTGGCATTAAAAATTTAACAAGCAAAAAAATCATTTAAAAGTAATGACATTTTACTGAATTTAAGAAGAATGGTTAAAAATATCGTATATATTCATAAAATAATTTTAAAAGTTGGGGTCTGTGATGTTAATTTTTAGATATTCCCAAAATAGTGCTAATTTTAAGCTTAAATTAGGGCTATTTTTTTCCTTCATTTTCACAATATATTTGCTATATTTATCAAATATGATGATAGAATTCATGACAGTTTATTTAATAGATAATTTAGGACCAGTATAAAACAACCCACTGCACAAAATAACTATATGTGCAGACTGTATGTAAAAATAGGAATCCAAACTTAACATACTTTTAATACTTCGAAAGAGAAAAAATGATCATTTTCTTCTAAAAAAACCTTCCGCCACAAAATATAGTTCCTCATTCAATGCTTTTGGTATTGAATTTAATCATGGAGTTTTAACTGAATATAGTTAAATTGGCATTGTAGAATCCAAATTTATTGTAAGAATTAAAACATCATGCAGAATTTTTGAAATATAGGTTAAGATAAAAATCTGCTCAAAAGCTCAGGAGCGAACCTCGTTAAGCGCTCTTATGTAAGAGATACCTACCTGCCATAATTAGAATTACCTTTTTAAGAGCATCTTGTACGACCTCATCTTCCAAGTTCTTCTGAATATGCTCTGAAATGTTATATTGCACAATAAATATGTTCTGAAATGTTATATTGCATAATGAATATGCTCTAAAATGTTATATTGCACAATGAATATGCTCTGAAATGTTATATTGCACAATGAATATTATATATATGATCTGAAATGTTATATTGCACAATGCTATTGTAAAAATCAAGTAAAAAAAAGTATGGAGTGCAGTGAATTGTATGCACAATATGCTTTTAAATGTTATACCTGATATTGCACAAAGATACAGTATACATCAAGTAAGGAAGTATGAATTGCTATGAATTGTATGCATAATGTGCTCTGAAATGTTATATTGCACAATGTTACAGTAAATATCAAGTAAAAAGTATGAAGTGCAGTGAATTGTAAGCACAATTTGGAGTCAGTGCAAATGGTTGTAAATTCTGAATGTAATATACATTATCAACAGTTGCTGTTGTGTTTCATCTACAACACTTTTCCTTCCATGTCAAATGTATATTTGCATAGGAGAGTCAGAGTGGAGGCATATTACATGGTTCAAAAATTAATAAAATTATATGCCTGTTAGTCCTCGACTAAATCTTGATGTACTGACTATTATTTGCCCAAATCAGTCCAGTGAGACTGCTAATTTCTCTAAGTTTTATTTTGGAAAACCACCTTAATTAATCTTAATCCAACAGAAAATTTCTCCTCTGTAGAGAGGACAACACAAGAAAAAAAAAATAGTGTGGTATACTATGTCATTTGAATAGCATAAAATATGCTCATTTGTGGAAAATTTGAGACTGGTAAAGGACTATATCCTGTAATAGCCAATATCTGCCCCCAAATTCAAACTTTGATGGAGAAATCAAAAATAATTTTCTAAACTAGAGAGATATAAGCAGACTTTAAAGCATTAAATATTTTCATTAACTATGATGTCATTAAGTTAGATATGACATCAGGAAAATGACATAAATTAAAAATATCAAAGATTTTTTGGAAGAATATAGTGTATTTAACATTAGTATTTTGATTGGATAACACAGAGCGCAGGTTTGCTTGGGCATGACCTTTCGATATAATGTGTAGAATGATAAATATAGATAAAATATCTGAATAGAGTACCTGTGCAAGTTTGTGCTCTGTAAATACTATAGTTGAAATCACGCTATCTAAATCCTCTAAATTTTACGTTTGTATCGGTATAATAAAATAGTTAAAAGTATATCATTGCGGGAGTTAGCAAGATTCCAGTTCCCCTCGACCAGGACTATTTCCCGAGGAGAACTGGAATCTTGCTAACTCCCTCAATGACATACTTTAACTGTATAATGTCACAAGACAAAAATGCCAATGATTTGTTTCCATTCCATATCTTGTTAATGAAGTTTTTTTTTCATCAATATAAATAACAGTGTACATTTCTAGAGATTTTGAACATTTTACTATTTTGGGAGGCAGGAAAATGACTTTACAATAAATAGTTCTTTTACTGCAGACTGGATGAAATTATCCCAGTTGGACTAGTGACATTTGAGGAATGAATTTAACAGCTACCCCCGTTATTCTGTATAAGCTGGGTTGGGACAGTTTATGCTTTATAAACAATGAAGTGATTTAATAAAAAAAAAAAAAAAAAAACAATTAAACTACTCCAACCAAGGTTAAACAGTGTAACCTGGGTAGCTATTAACATAAGGGGTCTGACTTGGTTTTTTTTTTTCCATAGAGACTGTGCAATGGAGAAACTCTTTAGCATACACTGACTTCAGTGTACATGCAAAGTTTCAGGGAAATCTACTGTCTGGGTATTTTTAAGGACCATCTCAAAATTACATTTCAAAAGTTGCATTTACTATATGGTGAAATGCTTTAATTTTCCTGTTTATATGGAGTGCTGCAAAATTTGACAGATACTAAAGAATTGTACTGAAAATGACCAGAAATAACTAAGATTTTTCAATCCCTGTGTTTACAATGTCAACATGGTCAATAGCATATATTTCATACTTTTTATTTTGTAACACTTTTTATGACCTCTTCTTAGAGAACTTTAATTTATCATAATGTCACAATTCATTAACACACAATGAATGTTGAATTACCTATTAATTGAAAAAAATCATTAAAAAATCAGTTCTTTAAAAATGTATTAAATAAAATTTTTTACATCTGATTTCTTAATGTTCATTGAATGGAAAAAAGGGAGAAGAGGTGAAATTTGACCATAGGAGATTTTTGGGGTTGCAAATGTGTTTAAAAAAAAGTAAAATGAAGATATGTTAGGGGTGCAACGATACACCACGCTTTCATTATATTTAGGGATGTCAACAAATAGTCGACTATTCGACTATCAGTCGAATGGACCGACGATCGAATAATGAAACGACATTCGAATATTATTATTATAAATAAATGCAACAAAAGAGTGATCATAACGAGATGGAATTCTCATCTTAAAATTGAGAAACTGTCTTTCCTCAGAGACAGTCGAAAATTTCCCTCAACAAAAAACGATTGACTTTCCATGTACTTATAGAAAGTATAGTAATTGTAAGTGCTTTACTACCACGGGAATTATATGTCAGATACTGCCTGTGTTGTTTTTGTAATAAATTACCCATCAAATTACTGGACTTTGTTTGGAAAACTATTAATTGGGCTTGATCTTATACCCTGTACCAATTATATTTTGTTATTTTAGGATTGCTCAATTCCAAGGAACACCATAACCGTGACAAGTTTTGCCACTTCGATAATTATTAAAACAATCCGCTTACATTTTAAGGACATTTTGATAACCGGGGCAATCTATTGAATAAGCTAGTATCTAACTGTTTAACAATATCACGAGCACCTGATTTTTATTTATTTCATAATAAGCTAAAAAAAAAATTAAAAATATCGGCTGGCAATTTTTAAATAATGCTTACTAAAACATAAATTGACTGTTTAGGCCGATCTATGAATTTGATTGATGGGGAAATTATACAGTTTGGAGAATTGTGTCTAAATTTATTTCATATAATCATGCTATCCACACGTTACGTTGCATTAATTTTGAGGTTACCTTTTAAATAAATTTATGTAAAAGGGTTTTTAAGTTACAAATACGTCATGTACCCGTGAAGTTTAAAATAAAATTTTATTTTCAGAAAATGTTCCGAATATTCGACTATCGTTCGAATAATGCAACTGAATAATCGACTAAGGAAAATAAATATTTTGACATCCCTAATTATATTGTATGGGCTCTGACTCTCCAATGCAAATGTTCTTCTGAAAAGGCAGCAGGTTCTTTTCAGCAAGCATCATTAAAAATATATATATATGCAATTTCAGCAAGCATCATTAAAAAAATATATATATGCAATTCTAATTAATTTTTTTTATATCTCTCAGAAGAACTGGTATTTTACGTTTTTCTATCTAGACATCAATAGACCGTTTCACGGTAACTGTGGTACTACTCCTTTGCAGGGCAAAATGATATACTTTGGTGAAATATGGCCTAAGAGCAATTGTTTAATATATGTCATTTAATAATCTATCAACAAAAACTTCACCAAACATGAATATTTTGTCCTGCAAAAGAGCAGAACCGCAGTTATTGTGAAAGGGCTAATAGCGAGCGCAGCGAGGCGGCACAAGCACTGCTCGCGTAGCGAGCTCCATAGACAACAAGTACTAATGGAGGAAAATTGGGTATAAATCTGCACATTGTTCAAAAAAAATTTATCGGTCCACGTGAAAAAATTCCAAACTCCCAATAATCCTTTGCTGTGCATAGCAACATGGTGACTTAAGCATAGCAACAACTTACTTGGGAAAAATTACAAACAACGATTTAATACCATTTCCATGCCACAATACTATCGTTTGCTTCCTCAGTAAACATGACTTTGTATGTGCGTTTTGTCACTTCAACAGCTCGGATATTTTGTCAGAAAAATCTGAGAAGTTAGGAATCTCGATCCCATGCATTGGGAGTCTGCAACGATATGTACCATATTTCAAAAGTCAATATCGCTTTTGAAAAGATGAACTTTCATGTACGATATGCAGTAAACGCACTCCAAAGGAGTTTACTGAAAAGTGTAATGTCATAAGCAGAATGTAAAACGACATTTGAAAAGGCGTGTAGAGTTGTAAAAAAAATTAACTGTGCTCGCCCTAACGGTTTCACCGTCGGACATATTAAGATACATTCTTACTAGCTGCAATAATGTAGCCCTCTCCGATTTTTTTTTTTTGGGAGAGGGCTACAACTCCTTAGGATCTCTGTAATGGTGCAAGTGCGGAGTGATTCACTACCGCACAGATTTCGGCTCAAATTATCAGTAAGTGGGTATTTTATTAACATATCTTACCTGAACTCACAAAATGTAGTTATGCAAGACATGGATTGATCCAAAATTATACAGAACAATCCGTAAATCGGTTATTTTTCGTGTATGTCAACATCACAACTTGAATTTATCCGCCATGTTTACTGACCTTGATTGATTTTATTTTGGGACAACCAATGAGAATTCGGGATCAAGGGGAGCAGATCTTACAGGATTTCCCTTATTTTAAGCATAAATATTACTGTTTATGAAAAAAAGTCACATGGAATGCTTTTATTTATTGAAGTTTAGTGATACCACACTACACAATCATTTATCAACACCGACATTTGCGTTATCAAGTGATTCTAAAATTCAAGCGCAAGTCTCAGTACATCACGCGAGAACTGTCATGGCTGCTGAGGAGAACGACTGGTAAACACGCAGATTTATTTTACTTGGTTTTCGCGTATAAAGGGCTATGATTTTGATAGTGAATAAAAATTCTGTCTTATTGGAAGTAAGTTGTATGTAAAAACAATTTATTTTGCCTGCAGTCGTCCGTATCTAAAAAATAAATTCGCACCATTATGGAGATGCAGTGGAATTGTAGCCCTCTCCTGAAAATATCAGATTAAAAAAAATCGGAGAGGGCTACATTATTGCAGCTACATTCTTACCATCAACCTCATCCAGCCAAAAGTCTTCCGACGTCAAATCTAGTTCTCCTAAATTCAAATTGATTTCCCCCTACGATTAAAAATGCAAAAAGAGAATACTTATTAGGAATGCAAAGACATAATCTACATAAGACGGTGGGTAGAATATAAAGAAAATACGAAAAGCATCAACATAGTATTTTGAAAGATATTAACAACTGAGGAAATCTGGACTTTATGATTCGAAAATTCGTCTGCCTCACCGCAGGGTCTCCCTTATCAGTCATCTGAGTGTGTTTAGCAAAAACAATGGACGGGTGGACGGGTAGGCTAGTTAAGGTAAAGCCTTTTACATCAAGTGATCAACTTAGTCAAGTTGTTATTTTGGTTTTGTATTCTATTTCCGGAAAGCACTTTCCCGTATCTCATTAACTCGTTCTCTTTTCGATTCGATCAATTATGATAATCATTTTCCAACATTGAAAATTCTACACAACTTTTGGATAATCATTATCACACAATTCTGCTTTTTTAAATACTATCGTATTTCTGCTGTAAATCATTAGATCGTTTCATGATAATAGTTGTTTGTTTCTTTTTAGGCCTACGCTCAATTTTCAAGTTGTTAAAAAAAATAATAAACTGTAATGCACGCGTAAGTTAAATTTAGAAACAAATTAACAAACAAATATTGTTTTTAAAGTTAAACTGATAAAATTAAAAAAAATCATATAATCCAAATAAAGCTAAAGTACTAAGACGTACTGACATAAAACTATTATTGTGTTTGTTGATAATTAATCATCACTGATTTCCCCTGACAGTCAATTTGTTAGAAGCAAATGTTGTGTCCAGTGTTACACAATGAGGAAACTGAACACCAATGAATTGGTCAGTGACACATACATGGACCAGCAGACGACAACCTGTCACGCGCGAAAAAAACTGACAGAACAATATAAAATACATGTAGGCTCTGCCAAATTCGTCCACTGTTTGCCACTTCCAGCCGAGACATAAATTTAACGGCGCAACAGTCCGCACTTCTGGTCATCTCTTTTCGAATAAGTGCAGTAAAAATTATTTCTATTTAATAATCTTTCGAATTATATAAGTTCGGCCCGTGGAATTAGCAACTGTGTTAAAATGTAGTGTGACGGAATAGTAAGGTGAAATTTTCAGCAACATCTTAAAGAGCACAATGTTTGTGATGGACAAATTGCGTACATTTATGATGGATCTCTTAATTCCAGTATTATTTCTATTGGTAAGTTTTTATTCTTAACAGAGGTAATTTCAATAATTTGATTTTAAAATATTCTTAAACATGCTAAAAAGTGCATGCATAGATATATACATATACAATGACTTTAAGAAATGCATTCAATATTTTTCGTCCTAGTTTAATACTTCTATTCAGATGAATATTTCAGTTTATTCTCAAATCTTGATTTGATTTGATAAACTTTTAATTTTGAATAAACTTTATATATACCATAATAATTAAAAAAAGATTAAATTCTAATGACAGCCTACCAATATCAATATCATAGAAATTTGTTTTTGTTCGGGAGTCCATACCAACTAAAATAAATAAATAAATAAATAAATAAATAAATAAATAAATAAATAAATAAATAAATAAGTAATAATATTAGTACAAAAATAAGGGGAAAATATTAGACTCGAAATTTTTTGAAGAAAAAAATCCGCACAATGCAGAAAACCTATTTCGTTGGGGGTAAGGACGCGGGTCCTAAGTTACTTAATAACTCAATACCAGGACCTCTGTCTGGACACTCAACTCCCTTTAGATCCGCGCATGAATATTATGTAGTTTTAGTGAAATTGGACCATTATCCCCTGACCCCTGAGATCGTGATACAGTCAATTGTCCACGACATATAAATAGGCCTTTGAGATGATTTCGGCAGCTGCCTACGTTCTGCCATTTATCTACGATATAGTTGACAGCCACTAAAAATTGAGAGATTTATTGAATTTTCTCCCAATATATCACATGTACTTTGAGGGAAAGACAGACAAAAATGAGCACCGAGTTTATAGAATTTATATTTGTGAACCTAAAAAATAACCCATTTAAATGTCGAAGCGATCACCCCCTAACAATATCCTTGTACAATTTTACAGACAATTAACAGATACACAATAATTAATATATTATTATGTAAATCTTTACTTAACAAGGAACTAAATTGTTGTTGTCAATTGATCTTGAGAAAAGTAAAATTATCTTGTTCTCTGATCTCGGATATTAGCGCATTTGTTTGTTCATTGTGAAGTTTGATAATGTTTAGTGCATTAATGAAATTTCTTTTCAAAAACTGTTACACACCGATCCATTGAATAACTTAATTTCATCATGAAAACCAAATTTGAGCGACAAGCTTGACGATTTTTACGATGTCCGTCATGCCTTTGCTGTACATGTTCTATACTAGACACTGTAATTGCTTTCAACCTTCATGTGTGGTAGTCAGCTCTAGTCACAGACGACCACTACAGCATTTCTTGAAGATGAAAATGAACCATTCTATTGTTCCGAACGCACGTACGTCCATAACTATCGCTATGCTCTATCATACGCGCCTGGAACAATCAGTCACAATTCTGTCAGAGTTATGTGCAACGGTGCAAAAAATCACACATTCTTCTTTATTCTTTCTCCGATCCCCTCCAGCAACTGTTACAATGTTTATTGCAATGGCCTTCGGCAAGTGGACACATCACGAGTTCAACTCATCGAATTATCAAGGACCTTCAGAGGAGGAATGATAGAAATCTATAATTATCATAATCCGTTGTCGAATGAACGTTCATGAATACATGTAGAACACTAACTGTTGAATTCAGAATAGCCTACAATTTACTTCCTTTGCAAGAATGTACTGCTTAATCTTTCATAAAAAATCCCAGAATTTCTTGAAGAAAATGTTCATCTTCATGGTCTTGCTCACCTTTCGTTAAAAGTGAGGGTGGAGTGGGGGTTGGGGGGTGGGGGGCTGTGAAGTCAAGAAGAGTGGAGAATGGTGAGAGAGATTTAAAGATATCACGTGATCAGGACATTACATTAACAAAATCTCGTGTAGCTTTAAGGAACTTCTAAACACTGATGAAATTTTTTTTTAAAAAATCACATAAAGGTGTTTATATTAAGTTTATCTTTTTGATTTTCAACATTTGGTATCTGCCTTATTTTCCTAGGAGACATGTTCAAAGGCAATGAAGCACAGTGAAGAGAACTCTCTGCTGCTTACTTAGTTTGGAAAAAATACATTCGAATAAAGTATTATTACTTTATCTTGGTCTAACATGTTAGGAATACTTTAATCTTTTACAAACTGTGTTATTCACAGTAGATGTCCATTTATACTATACAAGATACAAGATACAAGATATTTTATTTACCAATCAAGGGCTCCAGAGGCATTTCCACATATATAAATGCACAATTTAAACATAATTCACAATATACATTGTTTTTATATATATAAATATGTATATAAACAGTTATATAATATTGTATTCAGCGTTAATAATCATAGACAATACCAGTGTCAAGTGTCCAAATTATTGTCATTGATCCCAAGACAATACAAATATGTTATGCTACAACATATATTATATATATACTATATTACACCTAAGGGCATATCGCTCTAACGGCAAAAATTAAAGTACTGTGGAATTAAAACTCTTCAGTATGCTTTGTTTAAAGTTTCCATAATGAAAGACAACTTTCAACCAATGCCTCGTTTTAATGCTTCTGTTCAACAGTTAGATTTAATAAAATAAAAAATCATGACTATTAGTATCAAAATTAAAAAAAAGAAAGATACAAGTTTTCGGAAAATAACCATGGAATTTTTTCATTTTCATACTAGCTTTGATGATTTATTACCTTTAGAAATTGTTTCAGAAAATATTATAGAAAATAAATACTAGTAGTTAAAAATAAATAAATAAATCAATAATATTTACATTTTCAAATATTTTTCCTTAAGATTCTTTGCAAATTATTAAAAGTTCATGTTCTCATGGGCTACCGTGGGATGAGTAAGAATATTTTCATTGTGATGTGATTGAAGTAAAAAAAAATAGTGCAAAATTTTTTTTTTTTCAAAAATGATCGTTGAACGACAAAAATATGTGGCAAGTCATCAGAAAAATAATGTAAATATAAGATATGAATTTAATTTTTGAGAATTCATGAGGTACATGAACTACAATGCTTCACGCCTGCATATTTATCATGAAGCGCTAACGCGCATTATCATTTCTGACTTCAAAGAACCTTGAATCCTATTAAGATGCATGAAATAAAAATTGTTGCATGAAAAGATTTCATTTTCAAGCTTCATATTGAGACTTTTTCAATTAAAATTAATTTTAAGAGTTATCCCTCCTGTCTGAGGAGCGGCTATCCTTAACATAATCTTTTTAGTATGTCGGACGACGAATCATTTTGTCTAGTTTGCACGTTTGTTGTGTTATGGTCATGTCGTTACTAACGTTATCTAAGTAATTACTAAACCTCTCGCCGAAAGTGTCGTTTTTATGTCCAACAAAGACATGCATTGTTTCTTCGACAATAGTGTCGTAAAACAACATTTAATCATACCAAGGAATTCCGAATGGATCGCACTAATTTATTGTGGAAGGCGTTTCAATCGTCAATCAATCATTCCAATTTTTAGTGCACCAGTGATTGACAATGGACAAGACACGCATAATTTCTCCACAGTTTTTGTACAGTTCAACATCGGGACAGTGATTAATATTGTATAAGTACCATGTTTTTTTCTGTAGGATAATGATTAATAAAGGTTAAGTTACATGGATTGAATTGCATATTTATTACTCTTAAAAAATCAATTACATAAAAACAAGATAACGGAACTTTTTAGAGTACCTGGGAATGAAGCTCAAAAGTCCAATGAAACATTACAAATTGTGAACAAACACTCCATCTCAGAAAAAAATCAGAGGTGCGATCAGGTGCCATGGAAAAGTAAGCATCCCCTGTCGACCAGTCACACCCATCGTGCGCTCTTTGTCATGATCATATTAACGGAGAAATTCGTAGTTAATTCATACTCAGTGTGAAAATAATGGCTTTACAATTTGTATGAAAGACATCAGTTAACCTAACGAGAGTTTTTATTTGCAAACAAGGTCATTGTATCAACCATAAAATTTGCGAAATAGTGACTTTAATTGAGATTGTAGATACCCTTGTATCATCAAAGTATTTGTCAGTAGTCTGCCTCTTTTTGAAAATTGTTCGTACGAAGATTTTGCTCTTGCACAGCGAATCAACTGAGAAACATAAATCTCATA